TTTCATATCATTGGTTTTTTTGTGGGGTTTTTTTGATGATTTTGTGTGTGTGTGTGTGTGCGCGCGCGCGCACACTGGTGGTGGTAAGATGTGTATAACCAAAAATTTGCCATTTTTTACATTTTTTTAAGATTGTATTTATTTGAGAGAGAGCACATACAGAGGGAGAGGGAGAAGCAGACTCCCCACTGAGCAGGAAGCCCAATCCATATCGCAGGACCCCAGGATCATGACCTGAGCAGAAGGCAGACACTTAACTGACTGAGCCACCAACGTGCCCCTAAAATGTGCCATTTTAACCATGTGAACTAAGCCAGCTGGTCAGAGATGAGTGGAGTTAATTCTGGGGGTAAGGGAGATGCTCTAAAGCTGCTTCCAGATCAATCTAGGGGCTGACCTTGGCTTGAATACCTGGCTTTGAGATACTATTCAGTGAGCTCCTTGAAGGACTTGACTCTGAACCAATACTGTACAAAGAACCAGAGTAGTGTCCTGAGGAATGCACTGCAAGTGCTGTCCCTTCTGAGTCTGTTTTCCTTATTCTAAAATGAAGCTCTAACCAGGATTGTGGGATCTCTTCCGGCTCCTTGCTCTCTGATTCCTCGAGGTTCTGTATGCTGAGCAAATGGGAAAACAAGTGACTCTTCCAGCTTCAAGACTATACCTATTGCTGGGGGAACTAAACAGGAAAGAGTTCCCAAATTTACCCTGAGCCATTCAAGTTCCTGCTGCCAAACTGACCTCCCACCTACTACCCCAGTATGGCCATTCTTTCTTTCTTTCTTTTTTTTTTCTTTTTTTAAGATTTTACCCATTTTTATTTGATGGACAGGGACCACAAGTAGGCAGAGAGCCAGGCAGAGAGAGAGAGAGAGGAGGAAGCAGGCTCCCCACTGAACAGAGAGCCTGATGCGGGGCTAGATCCCAGGACCCTGGGATCATGACCTGTGCCTAAGGCAGAGGCTTTAACCCACTGAGCCACCCAGGCACCCCGGCCATTCTTTCTTTGATCCCACCCTGGTTCCTGATGAAAGAAACTCAGGATGCTGATCCTGGAATCTTTAGGCTGGTGGTCTGATAGGCCTGAACTCCAATCTCGGTCCTGCTGTTTATGAGCCAGATAACTAGTTAATACTCTGAGCCAAATGTTCTGCTTTATGACAGGACTGAAACTCCAAGGTAGCCTGCTGGAAAGGCTTTGCCTCCAGGCTCAAACACACTGTTGCAATGACTGGATGACTGACTCTCTGGACTGTTATCCAGTGACACATGTAGGTGGGGACAACTGGGCAAGTATTCAAACCCTCTCAGAACCCTAAGCTACTCTGGACATATGAAAGGAGAAAGTTTAACTATCCTCAGCTCTTTAAGTAAGGACAGACTTTCTGAAAGAGGTGGTTGCTGAAGTAAGCCCAGCTTGACCTCACGAAGAGAGGGCTTTTCAGGTAGAATCTAACAGTGCCAGCACAGGGCTCACTGCCCTGTCACTCCCCTGAAGAGTGGGACTTCAGGGCAGCCCCCTCAAGTTTTCATACCTGGAAGTCAAGGGCTGTTGGCAGAATCACACAACCTCCTACCATCCCCATATATCCCCTTCCTTTCTATCTCTAGAGATTATATTAATAGTAAAAGGGAGAGGGTTACATGTTTATTCCTTTGACTTCCTCAGTAGCACTTACCAGCCAACTTCCTTCCAGCAGCAGGTGCCAAGAATTTTTTTTTTATTTATGAGATAATAGCTTAAATTGGGAGATTCTGTACATTAACTTTTTTAAAAAGATTTTTATTTATTTATTTGACAGAGAGAGACAGTGAGAGAGAGAACACAAGCAGAGGGAGTGGGAGAGGGAAAAGCAGGCTTCCCACTGAGCAGGGAGCCCCTTGCAGGGCTCCATCCCAGGACTCTGGATCACAACCTGAGCCAAAGGCAGATGCCCAATGCCTGAGCCACCCAGGCACCCCTGTACATTAACTTTCAGTGTACATAGAACTGGGAAACATCATACTATATTAGGGGCAGAAACCTGGGTCCAGGAAAGACATTAATGATTCAGTCCATAAGAGATTCTTCGATGGGGCGCCTGGGTGGCTCAGTGGGTTAAGCCTCTGCCTTCGGCTCAGGTCATGATCTCAGGGTCCTGGGATCGAGCCCCACATCGGGCTCTCTGCTCCGCGGAGAGCCTGTTTCCTCCTCTCTCTCTCTCTGCCTGCCACTCTGCCTACTTGTGATCTCTATCTGTCAAATAAATAAATAAAATCTTAAAAAAAAAAGATTCTTCGAGAAGTACACCAAAAGGTAACAAAAGGTGTAAATTATTACTTGGGTTGAAAAATGATAAAGGGGCACCTGGATGTCTCAGTCGGTTAAGTGTCTGTCTTCAGCTTGGATCATGATCCTGGGGTCTTGAGATCAAGCCCCACATTAGGCTCCCTGCTCAGTGGCGGGGATGGGGAGAGTCTCTTTCTTCCTCTCCTTCTGCTCCTCCCCCCCATGCTCTGTCTCTAGCTCTGCTCTTTCTCTCTCAAAGAAATACAAATCTTTTTTTTTTTTTTTCAGATTTTATTTATTTATCTGAGAGAGCGAATGAGCGAGAGCACGATCGAGGGGAGGAGCAGAGGGAGAGGGAGAAGCGGACTCTGCAGAACAGGGAGCTCGATGCAAACTCAATCCCAGAACCCCAGGATCATGACCTGAGCTGAAGGCAGACGCTTAATGTACTGGGCCACCCAGCGTCCCTATATAAAAATCTTCTAAAAAAATTTTAAGGGGCGCCTGGGTGGCTCAGTGGGTTAAAGCCTCTGCCTTCGGCTCAGGTCATGATCCCGGGGTCCTGGGATTGAATTCTGCATCAGGTTCCCCCCATGCTTGTACTCTCTCTCTCTCTCTCTTTGACAAATAAATAAAATCTTGTACAAAAAAATTTTTAGGGGCACCTGGGTGGCTCAGTTGGTTGGGCAACTGCCTTCGGCTCAGGTCATGATCCCAGAGTCCTGGGATCCAGTCCCACGTCAGGCTCCCAGCTCCATGGGGAGTCTGCTTCTCCCTCTGACCTCCCCTCTCATGCTCTCTCACTCTGTCTCTCTCGGTCTAATAAATAAGTAAAATCTTTTTAAAAAATTTTTTAAAGAAAAAACGATGTAGTAACAATAAAATATTTATTACAGCAAACATTTGTTTGTATAAGTACTGTATAATTCCTGATTCTCTTCATTTCCCGAGGATGATATAATGAAAATGACATTTAAGGAAACTGAAATATGAAGTTACCTTAAAGAGTAAATATTCCTCGTATGTACCTGATAATTTCATTCATGTTATGCCTCTTCCATGTCCGTTTGATTAAATGAAAGAGCAGTTCCAAGCCAGCCCCTGCTCCTCAGATCTCTTATGACACCTATACACCCAACCAGAAGTGACTTTTTTCTCTATGGATCCTTCCGTATTATTTTCTTCGACTTTCTATTTTCTTTAACCACCTGCCTCTTTCTTTTATTATGGAAAATAAGTCCAGATCTTGCATCCGCTACTTTTGGTGATCTCTTTGTAGGGACAGATTTAGTCTGAGTCATATTTTTAACCCAGGGCTTTCCACATAAGTGTTTATAATGGTTTCCTGAATGAAAATGTTATGGACAAACCACCTTGTGAAACATCACTCTCTGAATTATTTTTCTTTCTTCGTCATCTGTTGATTTCTTCTCTACTGTGTGTGTGTAGAAGATACCAAGTGTTGGGTATCCAGCTAGTCCTTGAGGCAGCACATGGTAAGTTCCAGTAGGTATCAGGTGCTCTGTAAGGGCCTGTTGGATGGATAGATGGGAGAAGGAGGTCTACACTGTGTTCCAGGCCTATTTCTCACACCCAGCTTCTGCATGTCCCCAGACTCCTCATTAGGACTTCCATCCTATGCCTCTAATGAACTATGTAGGAAACCGCTTTGAAACAGTTATTAAGTTCTGCCTATGCTATATAACTTATTCTTTTACCCAATACCTTTCTTCTGGTAATACAGAAACAGCAAATTAATTTTGTTAAGAATTATTATATTTATAAATCAAAAGAGTATATATAGGTACATACATATTCTTGTCTGGTAATTTTTTTTTTTTTTTTTTGTAAACATAGTTTAAATCATACCTAGGTGGGGGCGCCTGGGTGGCTCAGTGGGTTAAAGCCTCTGCTTTCCGCTCAGGTCATGATCCCAGAGTCCTCCGATGGATCGAGCCCCGCATCAGTCTCTCTGCTCAGCAGGGAGCCTGCTTCCACCTCTCTCCCTGCCTGCCTCTCTGCCTACTTGTGTTCTCTCTCTGTGTGTCAAATAAATAAATATTTTTAAAAAATGATACCTAAATATCGTTCACCACAGAGACAACGCACTGATTACTTCTTTGTTGCAATCTTCTATATTCTCTGAAGTTGAAAACAGCATCGTTTTTCATCTGCCTACTTTTCTATGTATCATCCAAATGTTCCAACATCACTTTCCACGCGTTCAGAAGTATCAGAATAATCCACCACCAATTTTTAAAAAGATTTTATTTTTAACCTCTACACTTAATGTGGGACTCAACCGACTAAACTAGACAGCCACCCCAATCAAATTTTTTAAATATTTAAGCGTTGAAAGAAATTCCACCATGTGATTTTGGAGTCACTAACCCAGCTTTCCATCCACGGGAGTTCCTAAGATCAGTCAGTCACTCTGCGCGTTTCCGCATTTCATCTAAACCTTCCCCGGCCTCACGACACTTCAGAGGTGAGGAAGCCGAGGCTCAGAAAGGCCAAATGACCAGAGCCACCACGCGCGACAAGGAGATCCTCGTTGCTCCCAGAAAGCTCCACAACTCCATCGCCCCACTTGTCTTGGGCTTCCCAGAGGGCCACGGCCCTCCCACCAGCCTCCATTCCGGACCCGCCCACCGAGCCATCTTTGGCCACGCCCCTTCCGTGGCCGAGACCCGCGCTTCTGCGCTTCCGGCGCGTGGGTACTTCCGCTCGTGCGGGTGGTTCCGGGCGCGGTAAGGTCTGGCGTGGTGTTGCGATGGCGGCCGGTGGGAGCGACCCGCGGGCCGGCGACGTGGAGGAGGATGCCTCACAGCTTATCTTCCCCAAAGGTGGGGCTGGGACTGCAGGACTGCCACCGCTGTCCTGCGTGATCGCCGCAGGCCTGGCGTTGCCCATGTGTCGTCCTAGGCGGGCAGCCGGGCGGGTCGCCGGCGCGGAGAGGGGCAGGGAGGATGGGGGATGCGGTGGTGAGAGGGACCCCGGGCTGGGCCGAGGGCGGGCACCGCCGGGGTGCCTCCAGAGGGGCCTGTTGGATTCCACGCCTGCTACCCTGGAAACTTCGGCGCCCAGCTCCACACTGCCCTTGAGCAGCCTCTTCCTACTTGTTTAAGTAATTTATTGTATCTCATAAACCGCGAAGTGCTGCAGGGGTGTGGAAGGGATGAACAAAGCCGACAGTAGTTACAGTGGTAAGGACAAATAAGGATATTTTAATAAGTAATACACGATTGTAGGGGCCACTGGCTGGCTCAATCCGTAGAGCATGCCAGTCTTTTTCTTTATTCTTCTTCTTCTTTTTTTTTTTTTAAACATTTAACTTACTTATTTTGAGAGCGAGCGAGCATGGGGGGGGGCGGGGCCGCGGAGAGGCGTGAGGCAGAGGGAGAGGACCCAGGGACGCAGGACGCTGATGTGACTTGTGTCGAAGACCGGCGCTTAACACCGGAGCCACCGAGACAACCTAGCCTGCTAGTCTTGATCTCAGGATCATGAGCCTGGGCACCGAGCCTGTTTTCTTTTTTCTTTTCTTTCTTTTTTTTTTTTTTTAGATTTTTATTTATTTATTTGACAGAGATCACAAGTAGGCAGAGAGAGGGGGGAAGCAGGCTCCCTGCTGAGCAGAGAGCCCGATGCGGGGCTCGATCCAAGGACTCTGGGATCATGTCCTGAGCGGAAGGCAGAGGCCTTAACCCACTGAGCCACGCAGGCGCCCCCCCCCCCCCCCCCCCCCTTAAAAAAAAAAAAAAAAAACTAAAAGAAAGAAGGAGGGAAAGAGGCCAGCGTGTACTGAACTAAATTTCTTTTTTTTTTTTAATTAAATTAAATTTTATGTATTTATTTGACAGAGAGAGACATCACGAGCAAGGGAACACAGGGCAACGGGAGAGGAAGAAGCAGGCTTGTCGCTTAGCAGGGAGCCCGATGGGGGCTCTATCCCAGGACCCTGGGATCATGACCTGAGCGGAAAGCAGTCACTTAACCAACCCAGCCACCTGGGAGCTCCTGAGCTCAATTTCTATTCGTAGAGAGGTGACTGGGCGTTTTAAAGGGGGAGTGGAGGGGCTAGCCGGGTCTCTAGGATCAAGGACCTGAAAAATTACTAAAAGCATGAAGGGGAAGTGATTGGTTCATTTGAACCCATTTGGGTTTTTTAACTGGCGCTTATGGAGGGTTTTTTAACTGGCGCTTATGGAGGTTTTTTTTCAAAGATTTTATTTATTTGACAGAAAGAGACCTAGCTAGAGAGGGGAACACAAGCAAGGGGAGTGGGAAAGGGAGAAGCAGGCTTCCCACCAACCAGGGAGCCCCATGCAGGGCTGGATCCCAGGACCCTGAAGTCATGACCTGAGCTGAAAGCAGACAGACATCTGAGCAACCCAGGCGCCCCAATACCCACCTGATTTTAAATTATTTTATACATAGTAGAAAAAGTGAAACTCCACACCCTTTATCCAGAGGCAACAGTGTAAACAATTTAGTGTTTATTCTTCCAAACTAGATTTGTTTATAAATAAATAAATATATACACGCCTTTTTATTTGTAAAATGAGATTATGCAAATGAATGCTATAGCCTTTCAAAAATTTGACGATCTGTTGTGTAGTCCTTTTTCTTTTTTAAAACTCTAGGCCCAATGTGGGGCTTGCACTCATGACCTGAGATCAAGTATCACATGTTCTACTGACTAAGCCAGCCAGGCACCTCGTCCTATTCTTTTATTTCTTTTATTTATTTTTTAATTTTTAAGATCTTATTTATTTGTCAGAGAGAGCATGCACGCACAAGCAGGGGGACCAGCGGGCAGAGGAGGCAGAGCAGGTGGTGGGAGAATCAGGCTCCCCACTGAGCAAGGAGCCAGATGTGGGGCTCCATCCCAGGCCCCTGGGATCATGATCTGAGCTGAAGGCAGATGCTTAACCAACTGAGGGATTTCCTCTTTAAACTTAAGTTTGCTCATTGGTATTCTAACTGGTCAAGAGAATTATTTTAGGGGCGCCTAGGTGGCTCAGTGGGTTAAGCCTCTGCCTATGGCTGGTCATGGTCTCATCGAGGCCCAAATCAGGCTCTCTGCTCAGCAGGAAGCCTGCTTCCCTCTGTGTCTCTGCCTGCCTCTCTGCCTGCTTGTGATCTCTCTCTGTCAAATAAATAAAATCTTAAAAAAAAAATTATTTTAAATGAGTATCAAGGGTGAGCCCAAATGCCCATCAACTGATGAGCAGATAAAGAAGATGTGGAATGGAATATTGTTCAGCCATAAAAAAGAATGAAATCTTGCCATGTGCAATAACGTGGATGGAGGTAGAGACTATTGTGCTAAGCATAATAAGTCAGAGAAAGACAATCGTATGATCTTACTCATACATGGAATTTAAGAAACAAAACAGAAGAACATAGAGGGAAGAGGGAGCAAACCAGAAAACACTCTTCAGCTATAGAGAAAAAAGAGGGTTGCTGGAGAGGGAGGAGGTGGGGCGGCGGGGGTGGAATAAATGGGCGATGGGTAGAGGATACTTGTTGGGTGTCATGTGTAAGTGATGAATCACTAAACTATATACCTGAAAATAATATACTGTATGTTAACTCACTGGAATTTAAATAAAAACTTGAAGCTAGGAAAAAATGAGTATGAAGATTTGTGTGATGGCAAATATTTGAAGTAGGTTTAGTTGGGAAACTAGAAGATTATGAAATCTAGAGGGGAGGGAGTTCTGGCCACAGGTCTAATGCCTAGTATGTAATAGGCAGTGATCTGGGTGAATGAGTAAATAGCAGATTTGTACAGGTACAAAAATAGAACTTGGGACTCATTGTTAATGTGTTTCCAGTTGCCCTAAAGTGCCCTCCCTAACATGTAATAATTCTTAAAATTGAGAATGTAATACTAGTATTATGGAACTAGGTTACCACCTCAAGGAAGCTAAAGAGGAGTAATGGTTGGCTGTGCTCTGTATTGAAGTCAGTAACTGGCCTCATTAGGATAATGATGTGTAATTATTTAATAGCACATCCGGATCAGGTTCTTTGATGTTAAACTGTCTCGCCAGACTGAGCTAAGTTTTAGTGTTTTATGAACTCTACTGTGCCTTGATAGATCAGTCTAGACAGAGATAAAGCTGTGGGATATGAGGCCTCTGGATTCATGCAAGAACAAAAACTTGCTGTTAGTCTCAAGATAAAATGAACATTTAGACACTGTCCTTTGAAGGAATATTTTCAGCTGACATTTGTGCTTCTCACAAATAGAGTTTGAAACAGCTGAGACACTGCTAAATTCAGAGGTTCATATGCTTCTGGAGCATCGAAAGCAACAGAATGAGAGTGCGGAGGATGAACAGGAGCTTTCTGAGGTCTTCATGAAAACCTTAAATTACACAGCCCGTTTCAGTCGTTTCAAAAACAGAGAGACCATTGCCAGTGTCCGTAGGTGAGTGATAAAAGAAAGTTTTTGTTAATCCAAACTGTTGGACATCTACATGTAAAATGCTTTTGCCTCCACCAGTGCCATCCCATGGACATCATCTGTACCATTAATTTAAGAAAAATAAGGTCTTTGTCAGAAATTTGAAAATTGCTTGTAAGACCAAAATTCTCTTTGGCCACTTTTCCCTAAACCTGAAATCCCAGAGATTATTCTGCACAGTAACCATTGTTAGTTTATTCTTAGTCTTCCAGATCTTTTCCATGCATTCACATACATACGTTAAACCTATAAGAAACACAGCAGTGTTTGTGGGTTGTTGTTGTTTTTAATAAAGTGGGGTAATTTATTACTCACCTGGAATGTATTCAAGACCTCTATATGTTAATAAATATAAATCAGGAGCATTCTTTCTTAATCTTTGCTCTGCCTCCCAGACAGTGGCTTTTAGCATTTTTTCCTAAGGCATTGCTTCTCAAATTGGGTCAGATGTAACTTGGAAAACTGATGTGCTAAGGCATATAGGAGACCATGGGAGAAACCTATCTTCTTCAGATACCAGTTTTATTTGATGGTAGGTGATTTAAAACATTTCTACATTAAAATAGATACCAGCATATTGTGGAATAAAACAAAAACATATATGTGAATTCTTGAATTAAATTACAAAACTTAAAACCTTGCAGATGCAGAAAGTCACTTGAGCCTGTGACTGCAGGTTGCCTAGGGATACTTGTTTACTCTGCTCCAGTGAAAATGCTTGAGAATTACTGTCCTTAGGAATAGCAGGTATACCAAAAAAAATGTGTATAGACAGATACTTTTTAGAGAGCTGTTTATCATAGCCAAGGTGGGGGGGAACCCAAAACATTCAGTAGTAACTAAATAAATCGTGGGAACTAATTTGTTGGCTAATCTATTGTCATTCAAATTGTGATAGAAAATGGAAGTGTTCACATGTTAAGTGTACAGAAAATGAAGGTGTGAGATTGTATATGAAGTATGTATATAATCTTTCTAAAAAGCAAGTGTGTGTGTATGTTCTAAAAAGTGTGGGTGTACACATGGAGAAAAGATTAGAGGGAAATGTGCAGAGCTTCCAAGCAAAACTACAAGCTGTTGGGTCTAGGAGATGATCTGGACACATTCATGGATAAAAGGTTTCAGTATTGTAAACATGTTGGTTCTCCCCAAATTAATGTATACATTTAGTGCCATTCTGCAGCCTCAGGGGAATGGAAAAGGTGGCTAATATAATGATCTTAAATTTTTTTTTTTTTTTTTTTAGTTTTTTTTTTTTAAAGATTTTATTTATTTATTTGACAGAGATCACAAGTAGGCAGAGAGGCAGGCAGAGAGAGGGAGGAGGAAGCAGGCTTCCCGCTGAGCAGAGAGCCTGATGTGGAGCTCAGTCCCAGGACCGAGGAGGAGGGGACCGAAGGAGAAATATTTTAAAACAAAGTTCAGGGGTGCCTGGGTGGCTCAGTGGGTTAAAGCCTCTGCCTTCAGCTCAGGTCATGATCCCAGGGTCCTGGGATTAAGCCCCATAGTCAGGCTCTCTGCTCAGCAGGGAGCCTGCTTCTCCCTCTCTCTGCCTGCCTGTCTGCCTACTTGTGATCTCTCTCTGTGTGTCAAATAAATAAATAAAATCTTAAAAAAAAAAAACAAAGTTCAGGGGTGCCTGGGTGGCTTAGTGGGTTAAGCCTCTGCTTTCGGCTCAGGTCATAGTCTCAGGGGCCTGGGATCAAGCCCTGCATCGGGCTCTCTGCTCAGCAGGGAGCCTGCTTCCCCCTCTTTCTGTCTGCCTCTTTACCTACTTGTGATTTCTCTCTCTCTGTCAAATAAATTAAAAAAAAAAGAACAAAGTTTAGGGGGTAGGGATAGGGTGGCTGGGTTATGGACATTGGGAAGGGTATGTGCTACGGTGAGTGCTGTGAAATGTGTAAGCCTGATGATTCACAGACCTGTACCCCTGGGTCAAATAATACTTTATGTTAATAATAATAATAAAAAAAAAGTTTAAGCACTATACCTTATACCAAACTTGATTCCTAAGGATTTGAATATAAACCATGGTGAATAAAAGTGCTGTGTGGTAATATGAGTAAATGAATGCATTATTTTGGCTATGGTTAGTAAGACTTTAAATGTGGGGGAACTTGGTTGTATTCATCACTGTGTTAATCTCATTGTAGGCACTAAATAGTGAATAAATTAATTTGCATAAATATCTTTAAACTTTGTTACTTAAATTAAATGCCATATGCAAAGTGCAAGTATAAATAATTGGGGAAAGGACTGATATCCTTAAGTTTTTTATGTCCTTAATATTAAAAGCTCCAACAAAGAATTAATAAAAGATAACACTGGTTTTTAAAAATGGACACAGTCTGCAGTTAGAGGCTCAATTTGAATGAGAACTTAAGATGGCTAGCAAATTCTCTTGAAATAATGCTCATCTTCAAAAAAAAAATGCTCATCTTCAAGGAAATTGAAATGGTAAAAGAGCTAAGTAGATTTGAAAAGATTAAACAGAATGGGACACCTACATGTAATAAGTAGGGGAAATGGGGAAACAGGATTTATTGCTGATGTAAGTGTGTACTGATGAAGCACTTTTAGGGTACTATCTCTTGGGACTCCTGTGCTTTGACTGGATAATTAGCTTCCAGGAATTTATCTTTAAAACGCATTGTGAGGGACGCCTGGGTGGCTCAGTGGGTTAAGCCGCTGCCTTCGGCTCGGGTCGTGATCCCAGTGTCCTGGGATCGAGTCCCACATCGGGCTCCTTGCTCAGCGGGGAGCCTGCCTCTCCCTCTGCCTCTGCCTGCCACTCTATCTGCTTGTGCTCACTCTCTCTCTCTCTCTCTCTCTCTCTCTCTAACAAAAAAAAAAAAAAAAAAAAAACAAAAAAAAAAACAACAACGCATTGTGACCAGTCTAGTACATAAAGAAGTATACATGGTGTTTGAAAAGCGTTATTTAAAATGGTGAATTGAGGGGCGCCTGGGTGGCTCAGTGGGTTAAAGCCTCTGCCTTCGGCTCAGGTCATGATCTCAGGGTTCTGGGATCGAGCCCTGCATCGGGCTCTCTGCTCAGCAGGGAGCCTGCTTCCTCCTCTCTCTCTCTCTCTCTCTCTCTCTCTGCCTGCCTCTCTGCCTACTTGTGATCTCTGTCTGTCAAATAAATAAATAAAATCTTAAAAAAAAATAAATAAATGGTGAATTGAAGGGACACCTGGGTGGCTCTGTCAGTTGAGCATCGGACTCTTGCTTTAGATTCAGATCATGTTCTCAAGGTCATGAGAATGCGCCCCACGTTGGCCTCTGTGCTCAGCAGGGAGTTGGCTTGAAATTCTCTACCTCTCCCCACTTGCTCATTGTCTCTGAAATAAATTTTTAAAAAAGGGAAAAGACTTGATTTAAAAAAAAAAGATAAATAAAAAATAAAAGGGTGAATAATTGGAAACAATTGAAATGTTCAACAGCTGGAAATTTGACATATAAATTATAGCACAGTCATTCAACAGAATGCTGTGTTCAAGGTGGAGTTATGTGTAGTACTAATGTGGAAAACAGCTAGTGTTATTGAGTGAAAAAAAAAATCACAGAATAACATTTGTTACAATTCCTTTTGTTTTTGTTTTTTAATTACACTCTCAAAATTTTTTTTTCTTTCTTTTATAATATAAAGAGGAATGGTAGAGGATCTCCATGAAAGTGTTAATGCTAGTTATTTCTGGGTAGGGTTTCAGGTTCTTTTCACCTTTTGGGGATTTCTTTGTATTGTTTATAAATGAGAATATATTCATTTTACAACAAAACCCTCCACACAGATACATATAGTACTTTGTAAACCTTTTCCCGTGTAACTAAGTTTATAGTATTTTCCTTAGTAAATGAATATAGCTTTACTAAGTGGCAGAAAGTTATGAAACTGAATGTGTGAATTTTTATTCTAAAACATAAGTGTTTGGAACAGTACACTAAGGTAATTACTTGATTTTGTGTAGGTAGTGATATGGATAGCTTATTTTTCTGTCCTATATTTTTGAAATTTTGTATACCTAATATGCTTGTAATAGAATAATAAACACAGTAAATGTTTTGTTTCTGAACAGATAATTAAGGTCTTCTCTGAAACCAGATTTATCATGGATGATCTCTACTTTTTTTTAAAAGATTTTATTTATTTGAGAGAGAGAGAAGCAGACTCCCCACTGAGCAGAGAGCCTGATGTGGGACTTGATCCCAAGGACTCTGAAATTATGACCTGAGCCAGAGGCAAATGCTTAACGGACTGAGCCACCCAGGTGCCCGGGATGAGCTCTGTTTTAAGAGCTAAATGTGTAAGAAGCCAAGATAGGATTTGACAATGTTTTATACAATTTGAACTAGAATTGCATTTAAAATAAGACACAGTTTATACATATTTGTACAACATAAGGTATGCCTATATTTATTTTTTAGATTTGTTTTGTTTTTGTTCTGTTGTAGGTAAGTTAAAAAAGAATTTCCTCCAAGTCAGAAATACACAAACATTATGTGTTTGACATAAAATTAATGACGAAAGAAGCAAGGCAGAGTGATAAGAGCAGAGAATAGCAAAATAAATTCTTGGGGGGAAGGGTTGTATAGTCTGTAAGGTATATAATGGCTTTTCAAAGTTATACTAGCAAGCGGTTCTCAGGCCTGATGTGCTCTGCTCACTTTTGTTGTCTGCCTGATTTCATTTTAACTTCCTATTCTCCAGGCATAGGAACAGGAAGTGATTTGAAAGTGGGATTTTGCAGCCAAGCTAACCATATAGAAAGATTGCAGGTGCTTTACTTTTTTCTTACTTGCTAAGTACCTTTGATTCTCTTTTTCCTACTCACCAGTCTTTGATTTTTTTGTTTTGTTTTGTTTTGATTTTCTTCCGCATGGTCAGCTTGTTGCTCCAGAAGAAGCTTCATAAGTTTGAGTTGGCCTGTTTGGCCAACCTTTGCCCAGAGACTGCTGAGGAGTCAAAGGCGCTGATTCCAAGGTTAGTACTATCACTGTGCTAAATTCTTTATATTAATTTCCTACAAGTAGAATTACTGTTTCTAAAAGGTGTGTGCATTTAAAATTGGGGCATATAGCACCAACATTGAATGGAGTGCCTTCTTTAACAGGGTGTGAACATGATGGTTTTATAGCACACCAACTGTTAGCAAAAATGTGGAACAGCTGAATTTCTCACACTGGTGGTAGGAGTGCAAATTAGTATAGTCACTTTGGAGAGCAATTTAGCTACATATACTAGAGTTAAAGATGATTATACCCTGTAACCCGAAAATCCATTCTTGGGTACTTGCCTAAAAGCAACTCATGCAGTTCCATAAGAAGACATGTATCCTAATGTTCATTACTGCAGTGCTAGTGATAACAGAAACTTGACAGTCTCTCAGTAAACAAGAGGATGGACAAATAAATCATTTATGTAGCAGTGAAGAAATTAATGAACTGGAGCAACATGGAATAATAACAGATACCAAGGGACAGCTGGGTGGCTCAGTCCGTTAATAAGCGTTTGCCTTCAGCTCAGGTCGTGATCCCAGAGTCCTGGGATCAAGTCCCACATTGGGCTCCTTGCTCAGTGGGGAGCCTGCTTCTCCCTCTGCCTGCTGTTCCCCTGCTTGTGCTCTATCTGACAAATAAATAAAATCTTAAAAACAAAAACAAATTCCAAAATCAATTTGGAGTGAAAAAAAATTTCAGAAGGATATATGTAGTATGATGCCATTTCCTATAAAGTTTAAAAACATTGCTGTGTATGGCTTATAGATACATTTTGTATATATGTATATAGTAAGTATAAAAATATGATTAGGAATGATAAATACAAATTTAGGATAATGGTTAATTCTGGGGAAGGTATTGTGATAGGGGAGCATACACAGAGCCATTAACTTGTTCCTGTTGTGTTTGTTAAAGAAATTTAAATCAGGTAGAGGTAATGTTAACTTATTGTCTACACTTTCTTAAATCTCTGAAACACTTTGTATGTTTTTAAAAGGAATGGCAAAAATACAGCTGAAGGGTAAAGGTGTATGTTTAGAGGAGAAGTAGACAAGTGGTGCTCAAAGATTAGTGTGCTAAAAAAGAATATGTTGTCCCTCACTGAGACACTCTTTTGTTTTGGTTTTCTTCTTGTAGCCTGGAGGGTCGGTTTGAAGATGAAGAGTTACAGCAGATTCTTGATGATATCCAGACCAAGCGCAGCTTTCAATATTAATCTCCAAATACCACTCTGCTGCTGAAGGAACTACATCTCAAGCCCAGCACCACTGTCCTGGTGTCTGGAGCTAACTTACACAGAAATTCCATTGTGGAAGACACTTGGGCTGTCTTTGGCTAGAACAACCCAGCTTAGTCTTGGTTTAGGTTGCTATTTCAGACTTGACTATTGAACCATGGTAACCTGACCTTGCCTCTGGGGAGGGTGAGGTGGGGTGATGCGCATATAAGCTACACTATTGACTACCTCATGCCATGGTTTTGGCCCCTGTGTTTTAAAGTTTGTTTTAAGATTTTATTTTTTTAAGTAATCTCTACCCCCAATGTGGGGTTTGAACTTAAACTACCCCAAGATCAAGAGTGGCGTGCTCCACTGATTGAGCCAGCCAAGCACCCCTTTTTTTTAAGATTTTATTTTTTTAGCCCACATGTTGTTTTTGATTCCTAAGATTTCATGTTTTAATTTCAATTTGTTTGTAGTTTTTGAAACTACAGGAAACGACAGTCTTATCTAAATGCAAAAGGAAGAGGGGCGCCTGGGTGGCTCAGTGGGTTAAGCCGCTGCCTTCGGCTCAGGTCATGATCTCGGGGTCCTGGGATCTGGCCCCGCATCGGGCTCTCTGCTCAACGGGGAGCCTGCTTCCTCCTCTCTCTCTGCCTGCTTGTGATCTCTCTCTGTCAAATAAATAAATAAAATCTTTAAAAAAAAATAAATAAATGCAAAAGGAAGAATTAAGGGGCATTGGCTGACTCAATTGGTAGAGCACGTGACTCTCAATCTCAGGGTGAGAGTTCAAGCCCCACATTGGGCATGGAGCCTAGAAGCAAAAACAAGCAAAAAAACCCTGAATATAAATGCAAAAGGAAGAATTAAACCAGCCCTGTACCATCATCTGAAATCCTTACAGAAATGATGATACGCTAATGACTGAGACAGCATTGGCATCATAGTGCTTAACCCAGAAGTCAAGGAAGAAGCTCACCATGGGAAGCAGTTACACCCAGGATAACTGCCAAGCATGGAGGGCTCTAACATAACCTTGAGGTAGATCAGTACTTGACCTTTTTTCTTACACTGTTGAAGAATGTAGATTCGGAGGCAGTGGTCCTAAAGTACTGTTTCTCCCTCCTAAATTAAGATCTTTTTTGCCTTCAGTGGCCAGACTTGAAGGTCTGAACACTTTGAAGACTCCTTGGATGGGGCATCCAGTCCAAACCTTTTTCTTGCTACTTAGTGGCAGGTGATCTCTGATGGGGGTGATTGTCTATTTTCATAGGAAGGAAAGTGGAGAGTGTGCACAAAGAAAGCATGCACATAAGCTAGTAGATTTGGTCATGTGAAGACAAGTGTCACTAAGTTCACTAAACTACAGATACTCCCCAGGAACCACATGGTTGGAGCAGGGAGGGTGGTGGGGGTGATGTTCCCAGATGAGGGAAGAGGGTCATGGCAGGTAGTAGAAACAAAAACACCCCACCAAATGGATCAGGTACCATAAAAATGTCCATACTCTGACCTAGTGATTCTATTTCTGGAAACTGTATACCAAACATCAGAACACAGAGGAAGCTCTGTATGTCAAGAGCTGATTCTTTTTCCAATAGAGAAATAGTATGGTATGTTATGGTTACTTGTCCATGGATTATTTCTCACCTATTTAACAGGTGAACTTTTTCAGAAGCTAAATGGCTTACAGCCAAATACTTAGATACTGAATCCATGGACATTGAGGACATTTTGCTACATGAAATGTGAGACAGATACCATATAATCTCACTTATATGTGGAATCTAAAAAGCCCAAACTCAAAAGAAACAGAACAGATTGGTGGTTGTCAAAGGATGAAGGGAGGGGTGTGAAATGGGTAAAGGTGGTCAAAAGGTACAGACTCCTAGTTATAAGATAAGGCATGGGGACATAATACACAGCATGGTGACCATAGTTAATAATACTGTATTGTAGGGATGCCTGGTGACTCAGTTGATTAAGTATCTGGTTCTTGGTTTTAGCTCAGGTCATCTCCTGGGTCATGGGACCAAGCCCTTGTTGGACTCTGCACTCAGCAGGGAGTCTGCTTGAAGCTTCTCTGTCTCCACACCCCACCTTCACGTGCCCTCTCTCTCTAAAATAAATAAATCATTTAAAAAGTACTGTATTATATATTTGAAAGTTGCTAAGAGTAGATCTTAAAAGTTGTCACCACTGGAAGAAGTTCTAACTATGTGAGGTCAGGGTGGTTAACTAAACTGACTGTGATAAATTTCACTATATATGTATATACACATATATACACATATATAGTGATTATCACAGTCAGTTTAGTTAACCACCCTGACCTCACATAGTTAGAATTTATACATATATAAAATCTTTTCACTAATATATAACCAATACAATGTTCTATGTCAGTTACTTCAATAAGGCTGGAAAAATATATAAAACTTTTTAAAAAAAAATTGATTTGGGGGCACCTAGTTGTTTCAGGCAGAAGAGCATGTGACTCCTGATCTTGGGTTGTGAGCTGGAGCTCCCTTCATGTTGGGTGGGGAGACTTACTTAAAATAAATTTTTTTTTTTTTAATTTGACTTAAAGTAAAAATGAGACACTTGAGTAAACATACAAAAGAGGTAAGAGGTAAACATTTGTGCTTTTTTTTTTTTAAGCAGTTTTTTGTTTTGTTTTAAATTTATTTATTTATTTGACAGACAGAGATCACAAGTAGGCAGAGAGGCAGGCAGAGAGAGAGGAGGAAGCAGGCTTCCTGTTGAGCAGAGAGCCTGTTTCGGGGTTCGATCCCAGGGTCCTGGGTTCATGACCCAAGCCACAGGCAGAAGCTTTAATCCACTGAACCACCCAGGTTCCCCAACATCTGTGTTTCTAAAAGGGACCTCCGAGAACTGAACTTGCTTTCTCATCCAGGTCAGTTTTCCTCACCTTAGACATGAGAGTGCTAAGGGCTCAGCCCCCCTTCCCCTTAGGGACTTGGGAGCTGTGGATCTCAGGCCTGCTGGCCTCTTGCTGGGCCTGCACTCACCTGGATAGACGGGCAAAGGACCTCAGCTACCTCCACTCATACCCAGTCCGCCTTTGGGCTCTCTGAACAGTACAAATTGACCAGAAGCCAAAGGAAAGAGAATAAGCCCCAATAAAGCCTTCCAGGCAAGGCTTTATTGGGGCTTATGCTCCTGCACAAAGGAGACAACACAAGGAATGAGTCCTCAGGCTGGCTCCCAGAGAAAAGTTTACCCAGAGAGCTTTAGAGAGACTCCAGGCAGCAAAAGAATGGCAGTAGGAGCAGGAATTGTTCCCCTGCCCCAACTTGCACATTTAAATAAAGCTCATGCTATACGTGCTGCCCACGTCTAATTAGCATATTACGTCTCCGCCCCTGGGCGCGAATTTTAGTATTACAATGAGAGACAAGTCTGTGAAAGGTGGGGATTGGCATCCATCTTAGCGCTGATCGGTTTGGTCCAGCCCTCCTAGCGGGCTTCCCTCTTAGGGGAATAGCCTATTTCTGCTCACCTGTGAGCTCTTTTACTTGGGGCAGCTCAGCTTCTCCTACAGACCCAGGTGAAGAAGGCTGGATTTTGTGGTTAGGGGTGAGGGGAAATGAGTCCAGTCCCTGCCCTGTCTCACAAGGCCCCTGAGAAGGCGTCAGCAGTTTCAGGGCCTCCTCTTCTGGTGCCAATGTGCTGTTGTCCCTCTTAGTCCCCCACATCCCCTGTACCCCGAACTCGCAGGTGGGGGAACCTCCGCTCTGCATCTGGTATCATGAATTTTCTTTATTTGCATTTCAGGATCTGATGAAGGTGCTGGCAGTTCTATGCCCTGTAAAGTGGAGAAACAAAACCGTTAGCCCTATGTCCTGTTCTTGGTGGATAAAATGGGCTGGTTTAAATAATCATAATCAGAGGTGCCTGGGTGGCTCAGACGATAAGCGTCTGCCTTCGTCTCAGGTCATGATCCCAGGGACCAGGGATCCAGCCCCACTTTACTGCTCAGCGGGAAGCCTGTTTTCTCCCTCTCCCACTCCCCCTGCTTGTGTTTCCTCTTTCAAGTAAATAAATTAAATCTTTTTTAAAAATAAAAAAAAAATCATAATCATACCTTGTTTCGTTATGTAAGGTTGCACAGAGGCTGGGCTCCTAGGTGGCTCAGTGGGTTAATAGTCTGCTTTCAGTTCAGGTCATGATCCTGGTCATGATTTTCAGCTCAGGTCATGATGTAGCATCTAGTCCTGCATCAGGCTCAGAGCCTGCTTCTCCCTTGTCCCAACCCTCCCCCCAACTTATGCGCACTCCTTCTGTCTCTCTCTCAAAAATAATTTTTTTTTGTTTTGTTTTAAAAAGATTGCACAGAGGTAGTCCTTAGCAAAACTGGAATTCTGACTAGGCTCTAATCAGACCTCCTCAGGTTTCTAATTTTCAATGAGCAGGGGTGTTTTGTTTTAAGATTTTATTTACTTATTTGAGGGAGGAAGGTCAGAGAGAGGGAGCAGAGAGAATCCCTAGCGACTCCACCCTGAGCAGGATGTGGGGCTTGATCTCACCACCCTGAGATCATGACCTGAGCTGAAATCAAGGGTCTAATGCTTAACTGATTGAGCCACCCAGGCACTCCTCTATGAGCAGAGGTAGTTTTCAAAATATTTAACAACTTGGGGGCCACTGACTTATGTGCAGTTAGTAAGTCTCTAATTGCCAGATTGGAGTAAGGTCCTGGGGAGGTGGGAGTGGTTAGAGCTTATTTAGGAAAGCATTTCAATATTTCAATATTTTTGTAACTGGGGTACTAACTAGCTGAATCCCTCTTTTCTTTGAATCTTTCTCACACATGTACACACAAAGGTCTTGTAACTCCAGGTTTATTTGCATTCAAAATAGAGAAGGAGCCAGGACAGGCTGCCTTTGAGCCCAGTTGTTTGTGGCTAGGCACTGTTAAGTGTTTTATATATCTTATTGAAACTTCACACACTTAAGAGAATTTTTAAAACATTCTAAGGCTCTTATTCATTCTAATACTCTTACAACATTCTCAACATCAGGTCATTTATTCAACACGTTTTACTGAGTGCCCACCATATTAGGTTGGGGTTAAAGGAGAGCAAGATAAGAAGGTTCCAGGTCTCCTGGTGCCTACATTCCGGGGGGGGGGGGGGGGGGAGACAGACAAGAAAAAAAAAAAACAGCTAAATAGATTAGCCTGGGAACAAGTATGATATTAGATACAGTGCTCAGGGACGGCATTTTTGAGAAGATGCTATTTGAACTGTCAAGGATAGGAAAATATGGGAGGGTGGGGATGAGAGTTCCAGATC